CTATATCGTTGTCGACGATCGTGATGCTGAGCAGAGAGGTAAACAGGATGCCACCTCTCCAGGCACAGAGGGCAAGGAGGACTCTCCAGATGACCTCAAGCCGTTGTCCTCTTCCGAAGTGGACCGTCTGGGTAAGAACACTGTCAGTTACGTGATGGACAGTGATGCTCCCCTGGACACCCTGGTGAAGCTCTCCCAGGACTTCCCCAAGTACTCCGCCCATGTGGCATCTCACAATGCGACCGGCGAGCTTTTGGAAGACATCCGCGAGAAGCGTGGTCGCATGCTTCCGCCGGGAGCCAACCTTATGTGGATCAACGGCGTCCAGATGCACCCGAGCAAGATTGATGCATTCACCCTCTTGGACCACCTGCGTCGGGAGAGAAGACTGATTGACAAGTTCCGGGACCTTGGAATACCCGCTCAGGAAGCCGTGGACCTGCTCTCTCATCCATTGCTGGGTGAGGCGCTGGTTCAGGATACAGCGCAGCGTTTCAATTACAAGGATGAGATTGAAGACGGCAACGTTATTATCTGGATGAATGACATTGAGAAAGACGCCAGATACGAGCAGTGGCCGGATGAGATCCACGCGGTAGGTGCTCTGCCGTCGATATCATATGGTTAATGCTAACAGGTTGTTTATAGTACCTACAACGCTCGTACCCTGGTCAATTGCCAGCCGTGCGCCGCAACCTGCACCACGCCGTCTTTTCGGTTGACCTGACTGATGCGCAAGACATCCAGCTAGTCATTGAACCCATGCAGATGTTTGTGAAGCGGAAGATCCCTGTGAGATTTGGCTTGGTTCCTACTGCTTTCTCGCCGGGTGCTATTGCGCAGGCCAAGGTTGCTCATTATCTTCAAGACAAATTTGGCCTATCGAGCTTGCTACAGTATTTGGAAGAGGTATGTTCTGATAATAGTAAGGATTTGGTCAGTTACTGAGTCGACTAGTCTCTCAAAAAGAAAAAGACAGCGTCTCCCGATGCTTCCTGCTTTGAGTCTGCAACGAAGGGCCGGAACATTCGTCCGGGAAGACAACCTCTCTCATTGGAAGAGATCCTCGCAAGCGAAGAGTATGAGGCCATCGTTTCCCAAACAACCAACTACCAATCTCGACTTGGAATCAACCCCGGGAAACGCGACTTCTTCGTTAATGGTATTCCGTTAACCCGCGAAGAATCGTGGACACAAGAGTTGAGCATGCAGGTCAACCGGGATTTGCAGATGGTTCAGCAGAACATTTTTGAGGGCACCATTGACGATGATGCATCGTTTGCAAAGTTCTTGCTGTCTGACGCCGTGGACCGACGTAACCCGTTGATTATCCCCCAGGATCCCAAAGACGTCCGTATTCTGGACGTTAGGAAAATTGCGGATTCGCATAAAGATGCTTTGAACGAACTTCCCCGTCTAGCGTCGGACGCAGAGCATGTGCTGGATAGTGCTCATGTTATTGTTGTCGGCGACTTTGACTCTGATCGCGGTGCTCAGTTGCTTGTTGCGGCTTTGAACTCCCGAAAAGACCATGGTCAAGAAGAGGTTCTTTTCTTGCACAACCCTGATGACCAGAAGGCCGTAAAGGCATCTGCAAGGCTCTACAAGTCGCTCAAAGAAGGCAAGAAAACCGATGCCTTGCAGGTTCTTGTTGATGTACAGGGATCAACGGTATCAGATGCGGAGGCTGAAAAGATATCTCAGACCTGGGCAGCGTTGCAGCCTCTTGCTGGCGAGCTTGGGTTCGCTCCTGGGACAACTGGCGTTGTTGTTAATGGACGTGTAGTTGATATTCCAGCCGGCTCTGCCCTGGATTCAGGGGACTTTGGTCTACTTTTGGCCTACGAGCGGACGAGACGAATCACGCCAGTTGCCAAGGCTGTTGACGACCTTGGATTCGGCACAAAATTTACTGATCCTTTGGAATTCGCGAAGCTCACCTCTCTAGCCGCTTTGTCGACTATATCGGATGTGCCTGAGGGCATGTTCGAATCTTCTTCTGATATTCGGTTGAATCTATTTGGCGAGTGGACCGCGTCATCTTCGGTACTTACAGTATCCAACTCGGAGGACCCCACAATCAACATTGTCGTGTCCATTGACCCAACATCGGAGTTGGCCCAGAAATGGCTCCCTATCCTGCAGGTTGTTTCCGAACTGGCTGGAGTACAGCTCAAGATCTTCCTGAATCCCCAGGACAAGATCAACGAACTTCCTATCAAGCGTTTTTACCGCTACGTGCTGGACTCGAAGCCTTCGTTTGCTGCTGATGGATCTTTGGCAAGACCGACGGCGTCATTCTCTGGTGTTCCTTTGGAGGCGCTGCTCACACTGGGTATGGATGTCCCGTCATCATGGCTTGTGGCTCCTAAGGACTCCGTCTACGATCTGGACAACATCAAGTTGAGCGCAGTCAAGAGCGGTAACGTCGATGCTATATATGCACTGGAACACATCCTGATCGAGGGACATTCGCGAGACCTTACAGACCGCTCTCCCCCAAGAGGTGTCCAGCTGAACCTTGGCACAGAGGAGAACCTGGAGTATGCGGACACCGTTATCATGGCTAACCTGGGCTACTTCCAGTTCAAGACGCAGCCAGGATTGTGGAAGATCAGCTTGAAGCATGGACGCAGTCAGCAAATCTTCAACCTCGACAGCGTTGGGAGTCTTGGTTATAGCCCTCAGCCTGGCGATGATAATACCGAGGTGGCACTGCTTTCTTTCCAGGGCAAGACGCTCTTCCCGCGTCTCTCGCGCAAGAAGGGCCAGGAGATGGAGGATGTCCTGGAGACGGGCCCTAAGCCCGGCTCTGCGATGGACTACGTATCCAAGGGACTGAACTTCGCCTCTGGTTTCCTGTCAAACGTTGGTGTTAGCACCGGAGCCCGTGCCAACGAGCACGCCGACATCAACATCTTCTCCGTCGCCAGCGGCCACCTCTACGAACGAATGCTAAACATAATGATGGTCTCCGTGATGAGGAACACCAACCACAGCGTCAAATTCTGGTTCATCGAACAGTTCCTCTCTCCCTCCTTCAAATCCTTCCTCCCGCACCTCGCTGCCGAATACAACTTTACCTACGAAATGGTAACCTTCAAATGGCCGCACTGGCTGCGCGCCCAGCGCGAAAAACAGCGCGAAATCTGGGGCTACAAAATCCTCTTCCTGGACGTCCTCTTCCCCCTCTCCCTTGACAAAGTCATCTTCGTCGACGCAGACCAGATCGTCCGCACAGACATGCACGATCTCGTCGCCCTGGACCTCGACAACGCACCTTACGCTTTTACCCCGATGTGCGATTCACGCACGGAAATGGAAGGCTTCCGCTTCTGGAACCAGGGCTACTGGAAGACTTTCCTTCGCGGAAAACCATACCACATCTCGGCTCTCTACGTCGTCGACCTAAACCGTTTCCGGGCCCTCGCTGCAGGAGACCGTCTGCGGGGCCAGTACCAGATGCTCTCTGCGGACCCGAACAGTCTGAGTAACCTGGACCAGGATCTGCCGAATCATATGCAGCATAATCTGCCGATTAAGAGTCTGCCGCAGGAGTGGTTGTGGTGTGAGACGTGGTGCTCGGATGAGGCGTTGGGGTTGGCGAGGACGATTGATTTGTGTAATAATCCGCAGACCAAGGAGCCGAAGTTGGAGAGGGCGAGGAGGCAGGTTCCTGAGTGGGGGGTTTATGATGGGGAGATTGCGGCTTTGGGGGAGAGGGTCAAGCAGCAGCAAGTGGAAGAGCAGGTAGAGCAGGTGGATGCAGAGGGCAGAGAAGGGGCCGAGTGGGATAAGGATGAGTTGTAAGCTACGGCTATGGTTATGATCACGCAGTCCTTTGTTTCATAAAGCATGAGACTCATTATTTACTCTAGATTATGTACATGCATTTTCACCCTTCCTTCCAAAACAGCTCTATATCAGTCCTAGATAGTAGAGGCATCGATCGAATAAAATAGATAACAACACAAAAAAAGAAGAAAACAGAGCGGGGAGAAATGTCAAAAGATGTCAACATATCAACGGACAGTCATGGTTACTTGCCATCCTCGTTCTCACTAGAGTCATCTGAACCAGAGTCAGTTTCATCGGAGTTACTACCCTGGTCTTGGTTCTTCTTCACTTCAGTTGTGTCCTTTTTGCCGCTTGGTTGACTCGTGTTCGCCTTGGTGTTGGGATTGGCACGCGGTTTCTGATGCGGCTCTTCCTCTGACTCTGACTCTTCCGAGCCAGAGTCAGTCTCAGATCTTGATTCAGACTCGGACCCGGACTCAGACCTGGACTCCGGCTTTGACTCTTGCTTATTTTTGACGGGTACCGTTTTCTCGGGGTTGGAGTTGAGCATGGGTTTGGATGATGACGGTGATGTCCGCGGTTTCGGTTGCGGTTGAGTTTGAGGTTTGGTGGAGTTGGCCTTGGCGTTAACCCCGGAACTCGGTTTGGAGTTGGTCTTGTTATCCTTCTTCTTGGTATCCGAGTCGGATTCAGATTCAGACTCGGAGCCCGACTCTGAACCTGATCCTGACCCCGACCCTGACTCCGGTCCCGACTCGGATTCAGATTTAGAGTTCGAGTCCTCAGAGGTCGAAGCGCTGGTATTATCACCAGTGGGAGTATTCTTCTGCTGTCGTCGTCTCTGTAGATCCTTTTCCGTAGAGTCTGTCGCGGATTCAGAACCCGATTCAGACTCTGCATCTGAAGAACCGGAGCCCGAGTCAGATTCAGAGTCGGATGAAAATTCTGCTTTCTTGTTTGCTGGCTTTTCACGGTTCTTGTCTTCTGGTTTGGGGTTTGCTTTGATGTTTTTATCGGTTTGACTTTCGTCTTCGCCGTCCTCACTTTCGGATGTGGAGGCATCGCTGTCGTCTTCACTATCGGAGGTATCAGAGTCATCATCATCTGTGGAGGTCTTCTTCGTCACAGTTGACTGTTGAGCATTCTTGGCTGCAGCATTGGTAGACGATGAGGGTTTAGGTTTAGCTGCTTGTTGTTTGATGCTCTGCGTTGTCTTCTTATCTTCAGCTTCAGGCTCGCTGCTCGAGTCTGATTCAGAGCCGGACTCGGATCCGGATCCGGATTCAGATTCAGCATCAGATTCAGATGAGCTTCCACTGGCAGACGTGTCCTTCTTTGAAGAAGCTTTGTTCTTGCTCTTGTCTTCTTCTCTTGGACCAGTTGACTGCCGCTTGCGATCCGATCCCTCTGATTCGGAGTCGGAAGAGTCAGATGGTGTAGGAAGTCGTGTGCGTTTTTGAGGGGTTGATTTTTGGTCTTTAGAAGGAGATGTTTGGTTCTTGGATGCAGGTTTCGGTTCGGGTGCCTTTGTAGACTTGCTGTTCTTGTCTGTAGCGGGTTGGTCTGCGTCGTTGTCGTTGTCGTCCGACTCCGACTCGGAGCTTGTATCTGTTTCAGAGCCGGTCTCAGATTCAGATTCGGGCGCCGATTCTGGCGTAGCCTTGGACTTCTCTAGAGAACCATTCGCCTGCTTTTTCACAAACATGTTGATGACAGAGGGTTTCTTGGATGGCGTCCCTCTTGAAGGCGAAGGCGCAGCAGTGCTTGCATCCCGCTCGCCCTCCTCATCCTCTTCATCAGAGTCCACATATTCAGCACTCTTATACTTGGGATCCTCCTTAGGCGTGTCAGTGGCAGGCGACGGCTTGGGGTTTTTCTGCTTCTTAGGAGAACGCAGCTCCGCCGTAGGCTCATATGTAGCATCAGGATTGCCTCTGTTCCGCTGTTCGAGAACCTTGCGCCGGATTCTGCGCCATTTATCCGCGCACTGCTGTCTCGAGCGGACATGCTCCATACGAGTGCTGATTTGTCCCCATCCGATGAGCATCTCTTCCATCTCGTAGATATCCTTGCCTGTGTCATAGCCGGCTTTCTTATTCGCCTTCCATGTATCCCGAAGCGCACCTTGAAGACAACGGATCTCGTCTGCAGACCACGAGCCGCGCAGCATGGTAGCTCGGTGTTCAAGGCGGTTCTTCCATCTCTGCACGACATCGTCGTCGCTGCGGCCGAGGAGCTTGGCGATGTAGGCCCATTTAGGACCGTAGCGTGTGTGCATTGAGACAAGTTCGTCGTCTTGTTCGTGGGACCATTGGTGCGGTTTTTGAGTGGAAGCTTGGAAGTGTCGTCTCATGAAACGGTAGACTGATCTCTGGTCTCGCATGGGGATTATCTCGTAGATGGTCTTCCAAAATTCCGGCTTAGTGACGATATCCGAGTCACAAGGAAATTCCACGCCCTTGTCGCGATCGGAGTGCTGGACCATCCGGTCAAAATTGTCTGCTGAGAGTCCATGGGTGTTGCAGAAGTTGAGCTTAAAGTTCTCCAGTTTTTGCACTTCCTCAGAGGTGAAGAAGCCCGTCAGCTTTTCATTTTTCGCAGCACTTTCGGTACGATTGGGCTTTATGGATTGGTTTGTGAGATTTCTTTCTGGCAATGCTGTTGTGGTTGATTTTGCCAGTTCTCTCGAGCTCGATGGTGGCGGCAGCTTTGGTGTTGAAGGACGTTCTGGTAACGACGTAGTTGCTTTAGCCGGCTCTTTCGACTTGTGCCGCGACTCAGAGCTTTGCTTTGCCTCGCGCTTTTGAGAAGAGTGCGATTTCGACTTCGCGGGCTGTTCAGGAACCCGGGTTTCAGCTGCGCCATTCTCCTTGACTGGAAGTTCCCCATCTGCCCTGCGAGCGCTATTCTCCTTTTTCGCTGGATCAGGTATGCGCTTTCGTTTCGATGGACGAGAGCTATGTTCGTGCTGCGGCTGAGGTGGTGGAACTGGGCCCCGCTTGGTGCCATTTGGAGAAACCTCTCTCTTCCGCTTCGATTTTGTTTTATCTTTTGGGGACCGGTCGGCTTCTGGGCTCACATTATGGGCGTGGTCTATATCCACGACGGGAAATGTAAGCATCGTACTCAAATCAGAAAAGAATATTGCGGCTTGCGGTGGTGCAAGATCCACAATCTACTCACCATTGCCTTTTGGGAGCTTGATGGCCCCGTCAGGAACCTCTTGAGACTGTCCTTGGCCCATTGAGACGATTTAGAGGAAGTGCGCAACTGCGCGAGACCAGCTGGGAAGAGTAATGGGGCTGTCGGGGAGAAAGCAAAAAGTTGCTTGCGGAGCGGCGCGTCATTTTGCAGGCCTTACCGCTTTGGGAAACGCATCTCAGATGTTGCGCCGATGGCCGAGATGTCAGTATATATGACAGGAGTTAGATCTATTAAGATTGGTCCATTCGTGTTGCATTCTATGCCTTCAATTGTACAGAAAATGATTATGTAGTGTAGGTATTCTCATAGAAAAGGAGGTAAAGCGCGAAAAGAAAAAAAAAAAAAAAGGTATTCCCTGTGATTTTTAACGCCATCACTCAACACGCATTTCTCGTAATATCCTCGTAACCAGCTTCCTCTGATCTGTCGTGTTAAGCTCATGCTCATCAATCGTAGTCAAGCATCGTCCAATAGCCACCGTCGCTTTGACAGCAGAATCCCCTCCGTTCGAAGAGTCCACCCAGACCTTTCCATTCCTTCCAACAGCAATCTCAAACCCCCCAACACTCTCCAGCTTCTTCCCTAATTCGTCCAACACTACCAATCCCTCAACACCGTCCTCATCGTCTCCCTTGGACGAACTCGCCCGGATCAACCTCGCAGCCATGCCCGTAGAGATATCAAACACCATTCCACCCGTCAACGGACCCAGCCCCCCAGGTTCAGCTTTCCCAGTCGCAGGGTTCACACACGTTAACTCGACTTCTGCACCGGCACCAACACCAACTGACAACACGCGGGCATAGACCAGATCCCCACCCTTGAGCATCGGCCGGGTCTTCTTCGTCGCGCCTTCAAAGGCAAGCTGTGGTAGGAGAACTTGGGGCGCTTGAGGCGTGATCATGCAGTGGAAAAAATCGGCGCTGGAGTGGTGCACTTGGGCAATTACCAGGTCGTTTGTAGTGGGGATGTAGCGGCGGTTGGGGAACGAGGCGATTGATACGCCGCTCTTCTTGACATCTGTCGAGACAAGGCCGGCTTGAGTCGCTGTAATGACATGGCTTCCTGACGATCCAGAGGATGAGGTAGGTACTTGTTCAGAGAGGAGACGCAATCCGGAACCAAGTCGCAGAGGAGCGGAGGAGTTGGAGGGGAGGTAATCGGATGGGACGTCGTCGCCCGGAAGGAGGATTAAAGGGGTTGCCATTATTGCAATTGATCTCTCTCTCGAGAGCTCCTAAAAGGCAGAGAAATGCGTGGACGATGGCGATATTATCTTGATCTTTGGTCTGCGCAAATCTCGACTTATCGTTATCAGCACGTGATGAACTGCGCTAGTTTTGTGAGTATGTCGTATGTTGTAGTATGCTTCCGTCAAAAATGAAATTGAGTGAGAATAAATTGAACTAGACTATATTGTATTTGTCAAGTAAATACTTAGCACTAATAACAAGAAGATGTACTCTTCATGTGTAGTAGTAAAGTAGTGTAGAGTGTATGCACCGCCACAGCATATCGATAAGCACTAGCCACAGCGCCTCCCGAGCAAAAAATCTTTTTTTCTTTTGATCCCCGCGGCGTCGAAGAAGGTCCGGTTCCTGCTTTTCTTCCTCCATCCTATACCTCTTTCCTTTATTCCTTAAAACTACACACCTTCAAAATGAGCGCTGAGACCCCCGAGCGTTTCGCCATTGGTATCTCCTTTGGCAACTCCTCCAGCTCGATTGCCCGTCTCACTCCGGTATGTGCAGATTAGCAACAACTTGGGTTATTATATGCTGGTTATTAGAAACAGTCGCTAACGGACTATGATTACAGGAGGGCAAGGCTGAGGTTATTGCCAACGAAGAGGGAGGTTCGTTGTCCCCCATTCGAATTGAGCACCCTGGAAACAGCACCGTACTCACAGCGTTATAGACCGTCAAATCCCTACTGTTCTCTCGTACGTCGATGGAGAGGAATTCCACGGTACTCAGGCCAAGGCACAGCTTGTCCGCAACTCGCAGAACACCGTTGCATACTTCAGAGACTACCTCGGCAAGGACTTCAAGTCGATAGACCCCACACCCTGCCAACAGTCCGCCCACCCCCAACAGAGTGACTCGACTGTCGCCTTCACCGTCCGCGACACCGCCAGCGAGACCCCCAACACCATCACCGTTTCCGAGATTGCTACTCGTCACCTCCTTCGTCTGAAGAAGTCTGCCTCTGACTACCTTGGCAAGGAAGTCAACGCTGCCGTTATTACCGTCCCTAGCGACTTCACAGATGCTCAGCGTGAGGCCTTGATCGCTTCCGCCAAGGGTGCTGGCCTCGAGGTTCTCCAGCTCATCCACGAGCCCGTCGCTGCCGCTCTGGCCTACGATGCTAGACCCGAAGCCGTTGTGACCGACAAGCTGGTCGTCGTTGCTGACTTTGGTGGTACCCGGTCCGACGCCTCTGTTCTTGCTTGCCGTGGAGGCATGTACACTACCCTTGCCACCGCTCACGACTACGAATTGGGTGGCTCCACCCTGGACAAGATTGTCATCGACCACTTCGCCAAGGAATTCATTAAGAAGCACAAGAGTGACCCCCGCGAGGACGCCCGTGGTCTGGCCAAGTTGAAGCTGGAGGGTGAGGCTACGAAGCGTGCTCTCAGTCTCGGTACCAACGCTACCTTGAGCATTGAGAGCTTGACGGAGGGTATTGACTTCAGCTCTACCGTTAACCGGACGCGTTACGAGCTTCTGTCCGGCAAGGTGTTCGGCCAGTTCACCGCCTTGATTGAGCAGGCTGTCAAGAAGGCCGAGCTAGATGTTCTGGACATTGACGAGGTTATCCTCTCCGGTGGTACCTCGCACACCCCCAAAATCTCCCAGTTTATCCGCAACGCTTTCCCCGAGAAGACTCGTGTCCTTGCTCCTGCGACAACCCCTACCGCCATCAACCCCTCCGAGTTGGCCCCCAGAGGTGCCGCCATCCAGGCCTCTCTGATCTCCGAGTTCGAGACGGAAGACATTGAGCAGTCCATCCACCCTGCGGTCACCGTCACCCCTCACCTCCGCAACGCCATCGGTGTTGAGTTCTCCTCGGGTGACAACCTCGAGTTCGCCCCTCTCCTGAACACCGAGACCGCCCTTCCCGCCCGCCGTGTCGCTCAGTACAACGCCCCCAAGGAGGGTGGCGACGTCTTCGTTCGCGTCTGCGAAGGTGTCCGCGAGATCAAGGTCACCAAGCCCGAGCCCAAGGCGAAGGAGGAAAAGCCCGCCAAGACTGAGGATGACGACTCCGACTTCTCGGACGACGACGAAGAGGAGGAGGAGACCCGCGAGGTCATCTGGAAGACCGAGAAGCCTGTTGCTGAGCTTGCCGTCAAGGGCGTCAAGGCCAACGGCAAGGTCGAGCTCATGGTCCACGTCAACGCCGACCTGGGTCTGCAGATCACCGCCCGGGAAGTTGGAGGCCAGAGTGCCGCCCGGGGTGCCGTTGAGGCTCCCAAGGCTTAATTTGGTACTTTGAGTGCTTTGGATATGTCCGGTAGTTTGGCGTGACGGGAAAGAAAAACTTGGTAATGCGTGACGTTTGGATGAGGATCATGGTGTTTTTGTCCTGCGGTATTAGAATAGATCTAGAGGTCTAGGTCTTTATATCAGCATCTATAGAGTACATATAAGTCTGTTCAAGTCAATATCGCTTTTTTATACTCAATCATGAGAGAAAATATCTTGAAGTCGAAACAGTTGAAGATGTATAGGACCCACATTCCGGATTGGGATAAGTTCCTCTTTATCCGGAGTACATACCTATTGGTCCCTACTCTATTTTCACTTCTAACGGCAAGCCCTATGTAGGTCCAGTAGTCGAGGACTGTTAATGCATCGTACATAGATTGTTAGCTACCATTGGAAGCGCACAAATAGTCTACTGCCTCAGATCCAAAGATTAAAAGGGAGTCATAGAAGAAAAGAAAACAAGAACCCAGGGACAGTCGATAATGGTAATCCTATTCGAAAGAGCGGATGTAACTCTGGTGGCAGTGACTTGAGGGCATCTTAGTAAGTCTAGAACAGTTGTAGTAAATGACTTGTATATGATTGCTTTGACCAATATCCAGGGGATAAATCGTACTTCATCATATAGTTATGCGCAGTGCGCTACTTGAATTTGAAAGCAACATATGCATACGTCTCAGTACTTTCCATCTAACCATAACAACCATGCGAAATCAACTCCTCACGCGAGACTTAGCATACGTAGGCGTTACATTGTTGGGGAATCATTATCTTGAAGCCTGTACTCATGACCCAAGAGCGGCAACTTTCTCCGTCCTTTGCAGCCCATCAACACTCCCAGTAGCCACAGCCTCGCGTCTACCTCTCTCATCTGTAACCCATTTGATCGGACCCGGAGGCAAACCAACAGTGCCACTGCCATCTGACGCTGCCGTCCAGTGTAGGGCCTTGCGAATGCCAGCATCAAGGTCGGGGAGCATGCCGTTTGTGAATGTAAAGTGGCCACCGAGCTGGGATGGAATATTCTTGGGGTCAATGTACTTTTCCAGCGTGGGGGAGACATCGGTGGCCTTCAGAAATACGATCTTTTCGGCAGTCACCGGGTCGACGAATTTCCTGAGCACGCCCCATATTGTTATGATGTATGAGGAGACGTTGCAGACCTGATCTGGTTGGCCCTATTGAGCTTCGCTGGTACGGAGTCATTTACTCACGAATATGCGATCGATTGTTTCTGGATAACAGGTTGCCAAGATCCAGCTGACATCCTGCGCAAAGTCTTTCAAGTCCCAACCCTGCTTCAGAGAAATACAAGATGCATTGACAAGATAGACGGAGTTCGTAACAGGCACCAAAGGGCCCGGCCGGTCAGTCATCGCCGTGCAGAGCGGCAATACAAACCGCGTCAAGCCATCGTGAAACACCAACGCCCGTTGCGCCATGTCAGCGCTTGGTGCAGGCCCATCGGGAGATGATGGGGTGATTGTGCGTGTTCTTCGCCATTCAACCATTGCGGCATGGTTCAGGTGGGCTGCGTCAATCATTAGAATGGGCAAGCCACGCTTGTCGCGACGGCCTGTCCAGTGCGGATACTACACTAGGCTTATCAGTCAAGTAACGGTGCAGTTATCCCTTTTCAAAGTTTAAGCAACTGACCAGCTTCCGTGTATCTTCATACTCATCGATACTGATCAAGTCGTATAGAGGAAGCGCTTTCTTGTCAGCATGAAATTTGGTCGCCTTTTGGAATTGTTCAACGGCATCGGCATTGTTCATTTTGCGGGCCTGGAGGAATCGCCTGCTAGTGTCAATGCTTTGCCCCACTGTATCTGGGGCTGAGGAGGGGTCCTCACAGAAGAGTTGTCTTGTCATTGATTCCATCGCTAACATCCCCGTCTTTCAAACCAGAAGGTCGCTGTAGAAGGCCTTGCTCAGCACACATTTGGCTAAAGGTAGCCAAAACAGCCGTGTCGTCTACACAGAGTTTCTCCATTGTATCACCCTGCATGACTTCAATTTCTTGTTCTCGATGCCAAAGGTCAAATTAATAAAGATGATAGGTGTTTGAAGAAAACAGGGAAACAGAAGAGAAGATATTAATGGAGGAAAAGAAAGCCTAGACCCCAACTGGGCTGACCAGCTGCGCCTTGCTTTGATCACACATCAGCTAATTGTGCAGTTCGCCCGTAAGATTTGATAACACAGCCTGTGATATGGCATCAGGTGATTGGCCGCATGTAAACCCAGTCTCATGCATTAACGGTGAGATCTAGTATCTGTTTCCTTTTTTTCAGTAATTCCCATACAGCCTCATACATTCTTCAGGGCCAGCACGATATAAACAACTTCTAAAACTTCACTGTGGTGTAACAAGTATACTGGATTTATGCTGGAATTGAGGGTTATATATATTTCCTTAGGCTTCTCGTTTCGATCTCCACGACTGCGAAGCAGGATAAAACTCGACCTTTTGAGAACTTGGAGGACTATGTTGACTATCGGATTGTTGACACGCGGGCACCGTATGTAGCCCTTTCTCTTTTGCCACGATAATAGATAGCTAACAGGGCCAGGTTTGTCGATATGTTAATACGCTTCGGCATAGGCATTCTACTAACTCCCGAAGAAGACGAGAAAGTTACTCCAATTGTGAAGCCTTGCTATGCTGCCCGGGCTTGGCAAATGACTACTTTTCTTTCGACGTTGGGTGGGAGGAATTTTAGCCAGCTGAGAAAACGACCATGACAAACGCTGTATGGCCTTTCATGCAATGGCACAATGTCGGCGTGCCGGAAGCCAAAAGGCTAGTACAGCAAGTGACGAACAAATACGAGAAGGATTTCCAACAGAGCGTGCGGGACTTCATCACAGGGGAAGGAGAGGACGACGTCAAGTTGCAGACCTACCTCAAAGCACAGGGACAGCAAATCCCAGAAAATGTTACTTGGAGTCTGCGATGCCCACGGTATCATCCTGAGTTATGTGAGGAGGCTGACAGGAGTTTACACAGCACGGTTAAGGGTCTTTCGATTCCACCAAAAGAGGGACGAAGAGCCGTCCCAAGGCCCGACTTTTACTGTGCATCCTATAGGGCACACCAGGGTAGTGTGTCTGATTATTCATCTATGTGGTCTGCGGAGAATACCCCTTCTTCAAGATCCTCGGTGTCTTCTGCGTCATCTAATGACGAAAACCGGTGCGAGCTGAGGCCAGTGTCACTAGGATTAGAGGTATGATCCTCCTTGGTACACTGGGACGCCAACCGGTGCTGACATAGGCAATGTGATAGTATATACTAGGTCCCTCTGATTACATTAGCTCTTTGTCATCCAAAGATGTAAGAGAAGCATTCATCGACGCTGTAAATGTTTGGTTGATGCTTCTAGGTCACCATGCCAAATGGTTGAAAGGTATTGCATAGACACTGCACAATGCTTCGTTAATGTGAATTTCCTAGTGACAATGTCGACGTTTCTACACCACTAACTTGCCGCTCAAAGGCTGGATAATATTGAAGACTCATAACCTCTCCGTCGTGGCCAGCCAGCAACTCACATGGTGCTTGGACAAGGACAGACAATCAACTCGGCCAATTTCCTTCTGATCCAGGCAGTAGACCAGGTACGGCAGTTAGAGGATGAGCAATGCTTGCAGATTTACCTAGAGAAAATGCAGAATCTCTTCACTGGTCAGAGTTTCGACCTCTACTGGACACAGCAGGGGAAGTGTCCCTCTCATGAAGAATATATGGAGATTATCCGACAGAGTGCGTATTTCTTCTCTTGCAAGACACATATCCAAGTTGATACTACGTCGCTTCCAGAGACCAGTGGCTTACTCCGCCTGCTTGCTCGACTAATAATACAAAAAGCCTCAGCTCTGCACCACCGGTACTGTAACTAATCCCCGTTAAATGATTTCGGATAACTTACTAACTGACCTCGTATAGAAACATTCCCTTGGAATCCCTTACGATAAAACTCGGTGAATACTTCCAAATCCGCGATGACTACAAAAGCCTAACTGAGACAGTACGAGACCCATCTCTAGAGCACGTAATGTGAAAAAAGCACATACTAATCAATACTTCCGCACCCACAGTACACCGGTCAAAAAGGCTTCTGTGAAGATCTCGACGGAGGCAAATTCTCCTTCCCACTGATTCATGCTCTAACCTCCCTGCCAAAAGACTTTCAACTTCATGCTCTCCTACAGCAATCACGGGATGCTAAAGGTCTTGATGTACCCCAAAAGCAGTGTGTTCTTAAGCATCTTCATTAGGCTGGTAGTATGGAGTATATCGTTAGGACATTACAGGGCCTTATGGGGGAGATTACGGACCAGATTAGGTTGATTGGGAACGATAAGAAATGTCCGAATTGGGTTTTGAGACTTTTGGTTCATAGACTCGCTGTTTGATTACGAGGTACTGAGCCCAAAATTCCATACATTACTGTACTTATAATGTTCAATAGAGAGAAACTTCTAGCGAATTCTTAAATTTATAAATCAAGAGAAGCAGCGGACGAGCCAGAAAATACCGTGTTCTATAGTGAATAGTAAGAATAAACGTGAATTTTGTATTTGAATGGACTCAGTAGTAGGGCTGGACACTAGGGCTCTTATTACGGAGATAAAATGCGGGACGACCAAAACGGAAGGTCTGCCGACCGCCCGCAATCTTTCATCGCATCGCCGGCGCGCAAGTATTACATATAACAGACCAAGCCATACACTATTCTATTCTACGCTACTTGAATTCAAAATAAACCCATAATAATCTTCTAATAAAGCGCTCTATTGAGCCCTCAGAATCAGAGCACCATGGCGAAACAACCCCTCACGCGCGACCTCCAATTCGAAAAGAAGAACCAGAACATGGTCAAGCTCCCAAAATGTCAGTCCCTCACCCCCATACCAGTTCCATTTTGAATCAGTCTGCTAACATTTTGATAAACCATAGACGCCCGCATCCAAAAACGCCCCATCCCGCACCCCCCAATCGCCTCCCCCTACGCCGGCTCCTCCACCCCCAAAACCGTCTACATATCCAGCAGCACGCCCTTCATGAGCGCCGTAAAACGCGTCCAAAAGCTGCTCCATCAAGCCGAGAAACGCGCCATGACCTCCGTGCACCTGAGCCTGGGTAACAAGACGAAGACCGACAGACAGAAACTCGCGCAGATGGCGGAGGGGCATGAGAAGATGCGGAAAGAGGCGGGGCAGGAGGAGGTTTTTATTAAGGCTACTGGGAGAGCGATGGAAAAGGCGATGAGGGTTGGGAAGTGGTTTGGGGAGAGGGAGAGGGAGTATGTTACTAGGGTAAAGACAGGGAGTGTGATTGTTGTGGATGATGTGGTTGAGGATGAGGAGGGGAGGAAGAAGGTTGTTGAGGAGAGGGAGAGTGTTAAGAAGGAAGGGGAGGAGAAAAAGGAGGGTGGTGATGCTGAGGAGTCGGCTGGTTCTAAGTCTGCGGCGAAGAAGAGGAAGCGGGCTGCGGCGGCGGAGACAGAGTTGCCTGAGTCGAGGACGCGGTGGGTTAATGTTGTTGAGATTGCGGTGACCTATAAATGAGGGTGTTCACGGATTTGCTAAGCTATGCTTTTTTCTCATTTCTCGCGGTTCGTTGACGAGAGTCCGAACGCAGTGTTGGTGAACACACGCCACGAGGTCACAACAGTGCAGGTACCAATCAGTCTACCGCATCCCTACCTCAACGCGCTCCTACGGACATCATTATCTATGGAGAGTATACCTCCCTACGAGCATAACTGGGCCAGTGCACTACCAAGTCAAGAAGCTTTGGGGTCTGCATCCAACCCAGTGGATAAGGCAGGGCATGGGAGCTAGGTCAAGACTACAGATCTTATGATTAAATCTTTACTTCGGAGAATGTACTAGACGATATCAATATCCCATTCAACCATCCAATCCTGAGATCATAAAATACAAGAACGATAAAACTGTTCATTCGTGACGTAAAAATTTTCAAATAAAGTGATGCTTCTAGTAAACTAATACACAAAGGCGGATCAGCCTACACGACCTTGCCTGTCAGAAGAAGAACATTAACATAGAAAAGTAAGAGAGAGGTCGTTGCTGCCAGGAAGTCGTAACTGGAAACAAGCTGGTGTCGGCTGGGTGGTGACAGTAACCAAGGACAAAGAGAAGATGTAGAGGGAAGGTCAGGTAATAGTAATGCAGGTAATGCCAAAAAAGAAAAAGAAAAAAGAAACGGGAGAATCAAAGCTTCCAACCAGAGTACATAAAGAAATGAAACAATGACACAGTGCAGAAAATGAACGAGCTGCAACCTTATGTAGAATGAAAAAAAAAAAAAAAAAACCTATCCATAACGAATATAACAACTGACCTCCAACATTGACGGACGGTAGCGCAATGAACAGTCATTTGTCCATCCTTTGCCACCCGTTCAGATAGGCCATAATGCCTACCCCTAATAGTACAACACCAAGCATCGACGCATACGGGCTAGACTGCTCCAAAGCAACTTGTTTCTGCTGCTGTGAAGCGAATGGAGCGCTGCCGTCTTGCGTTTCTTTGGTCTTCGGCGATTTAAAGGTTTCAAGTTCCTTAACCTTGGAGGTTGCCGGTGACTCCTTAACCCCGGGAGCAAATTCTGTCGGCTCTGGCAAGAGAGACTCGGGCTTTGTGGTTGCCCTGTCGGCATTCTCTGCACGTTCTCGCCGCAATGTTTCAATCATCTCCGCCAGCGAATTGCGTGTTTCTGCGGTTTCACTCTCGGCCTTATGTGCACGGTCCTTGAGTGTCACGACCTGGCTCCGCATTTCTTCCATCTCGCTCATCACTTCCTCTAAGCGGCGCTGTAATTGCTTGGCTTGATCATCTTCTGGTGCCTTCGCCTCATCATCAAACGCAGAACCATTCTCTTTATCGAGAGACTTTTCAAGCACCACCGGTAGCCCATTCGTGATATTTTGATCGTCACCATGATAGGGTTCAATCGTAGCCGTGCTATCCGAATCATCACCCCCTGCCGCGGTATGCGTTTCCATCTTCTTTGCTCTTTCTTCCGCTGACTCACGAGCGGCCCTTTCATGAAGTAAAAGGGTCTCCAACTCCTTCACGCGAGCACCTTGCGAGTCCAGCTCCCTTCTCGTCGAAGTCAAAGCTTCAATGAGCGAGAGAATTTGGCTGGAGTCTCGGGTCACCGGCGAGTTGCCAGCTCCAAGCTTAGCTTTTTCTGTTTCAGAACGTTTGAGAGGTGAGATTGCGTCGGGACCATTGCGCGGCAAAGCGTCCGGCTTTTCAGGCAGTGGTTGCTGAGGAGGTGGTGCAGGAGGGTCAGAGAACCTCGAGAAGGAATCGACGCGTGGCATCTTGGGCCGTCCATTCACCTGGCGAGGGTGATGGCTTTCTGAGTGCTTGACCTTTTCTTTCTCTGATTGACCTGGTTTCATGAGTGTCCCCAGGAAAGCGTCAGTTTGACGGAGGTCCTGAGCTTGTTGTTTCGCTTGTTTCATTTCGCTCTATTCAGCATATTAGTATATAGTCCGTCCCAGTACGGGTAGGTCATCATACCGTAAGTCTTTTGACAACTTGTTCGATGGATACTGGAGAATTCCAATAATTCATCTGTCGTTGTTGCTGTAGGGCATTAAGCTGAGTGCTAGCGGAACTTTGTGTGCTCCGGTTGCTCATAGCACTTCCAGAACGGCCCCGGAAATGGGAAAGCGGCTGACTTAGAGGAGATGGAAGCATTCCATTACCCGAGGCAGGATCCAGATCCCCCAATGTGAGGTCCAGGATGTTCGGGATGCTGGTTAGGATACCCGCATGTTCAACTTTGGCGGAAACCTTGTGGTGAACAACGGTCTTCTGATCCTCGCTGACAATGTCAATCCCCAGCTCCAAAGTATCATTCTCGCGGATCTCGTGAGGATCCGACTCGCGGTTTTCCTGAGACAGCCGATTGCCATTGACAAATGTACCATTGGATGATTTCACATCTCGAATCCATATTTTACCATTCTTGTCTGCCCAGATTTCCGCATGCGACCTGGAGAGAACTTTGGAGTCGAAGAAACCGTTCATCGCAGTGGGGACCGTCTTGGCGTTCGTCTGCCGCCCGATCTTCAGCATATCTGGGAAGAAGGGCACGTGGATCTGTTTTTTATCGAACGTGCCGTTGAGCGGCAAGAGCGACAGTATGACAGGCGGGTCTCCAGAAGGCTGCCCATTCGCGCGGGCGCCATTTTGCTGGGGAGTCTGGGGCATGTGTTGCGATGGAACGATGGAGGACGGTTGATGGATTGCGGACATGGTAGAAGAGGCTGTAGAACCGGCTGAAAATGCCGGGACCACTTGCGATCGTGCGTTTGTTATTCCTGAAACCGGTTCGGACTTGGTGCTAGGCCAGATATTTCTCGATGACTTTTTCTTCGAGGACCATTCAATGTTGGAGTTCTGTCCCGAATCAGAATTCTGCGAGCTGGTCGCCACGGTCGAGGTGGATGAATTGGAGTTCAACGACGAAGAAGAGTTTGATCTCTGAATGCTTTTCCGTGGCATAAAAACCCGTGATACCTCATCTGTGTCCATCGAAGACAGGGCTCCTTGTCCTCCGTTACCAGAGCTGTACCATCCCAAGCGAGGCCCCGATTGCACACTAGGCGGCGATGCCACAGCAGTCATGGAGATGGATACCGGGTATTGTTTAGTTGAACAGTGCTGATATACTTGTGTGAACCCGTCCTATCATATAGGCGCGAGTACTAAACGGGATCGGCAAATGGAGTGTCTCGGATATGCGAATCGCTGAAGTCGTGTCTAATCGTCTTTTGGGAATTGATGCCGTCCGTAAAATGAATTGCGTAGTGATGTATACGGTGCGGTTCGTTGCGCGCGATAACCCTTGAATCCGGCCACCTGTGATAGGAGTCAGGTTTTAGCGATTGTTCGTCTCGCAAGTTGAACAGCCAGAACCAGGGACAACTTACCGATAGACACAACTCCGCGCAATTAAGTCCAAGATAAGAGCATATACAATAAGATGCTGCCGACGTGATGGGTGGGTGGTGTTGTACTGTACAGGCGCTTTTCCAACCAAGGAGAGACGTGAGGGTGAGGTTCGTTGTTGGCCCCCAACCCCAGGTGCGACCGCTTGGAACAGGACCGGTAAAGGGAAGGAAAGAGCAAAAGCACAAGACGGGAAACAACCGTCTGGCCAACAAACTCACCAACCAGTAGAAGGCAGGAAGGAATCACAGAGCCAGCATGAGTCAAAAACAAAAAAAAAATAATCCCCCGGGCTGGCCGCTGGCGGCAGGCGGGAGGAGGATCAGCTCCCAGGCTCCCTATCGCCTCAGGCCTTTACTCACGTGAGAAGGGGCACGTGCGCTTAGCTAAGGCCAACGGCTCCAGTCGTGATCACGTGAAATGGGCGGGGCCTCGGATGGAGTCTAAATCCGTCATTCCGTCGGAGCTTTGCACTTGGTCTGTCGTTGATTGAAGCTCGTCGCTATTCTCATTGCGCTTGATCTTATTGATCCTTGAACTATATATCGATCACTCCAATCTCCTGCTTTTTCCTTCCGCCAAGATGCCCGTCGTCGCAGGTCCCCCTCAAGCTGGCCCCTCCACCTTTGACAAGAGTGAGTCTTGCAGACTTCCATTGACATCTCTCTGGATGAGATTGCAAGATTTCGCGCATAGATACGCTAACCTCCTTACAGTGAAGATGGGTGCCATGATGGGTTCAAGTATGTCGACATTGGAATCCATTTTTTTGTTGATTTCTCACTAACCCACCTACTAGCTGTCGGTGGTATCATGGGTTTCATTATCGGTTAGTTGCCATACATGGCTCGCTATATGATGGCCCCAATACTCATGGAATCATAGGAACCGTGACGATTTTCCAGTATGGTGCCGGCCCTAACGGTGTTATGCGGACCCTGGGCAAGTTCATGCTTGGATCTGGAGCGACTTTCGGGTATGTTTTTCTATGACTTGCACGGTCATTGTATGAGAATACTGGGAAAAGGGACACTGCTAACAGTTATCCCACCATGAACAGTCTCTTCATGTCCATCGGTAGCGTCATCCGTACCGATGGCCCTCACAACGATGCCTGGCTCCGCGCTCGTGGCCCCCCGATGATGCTCCCCAGACAGAGCGCTTTCCGCCCCGTGCGCCAATAAACGAGCTATACAGCCGTTTAGGGATATGTGATACGACCAACTACACAAAACATGTACAATACCATTTATATTCGAGATTTCGGTGGTTATGATATGAGGGCAGCCAAGGCCGCACGAGTGGCTGTGGAGGAACAAGGGAGGATCTCCGCACTATGTACATATAGGAGCTTGAACTGGTGGCAAAGAGACGTTTGAACCAGCGACAGTATACCATTTCGGCGTTACAACCAGGTTGATGTTTGTTTGAGATTTCTACGCCATTCCGTATTTATGACTGCTACGTGACAGCAATTGAGGCTTGAGAAGTCAGCTAGTGCGACAGGGCCTGCATTACAACTCCTGCAGGACACCTATGCTTCTAAGAAAATACCCCCCTTCTCCCTTGACTATCGAAGACCGGGGATGGCCTGCATCAGCGGAGATTAAATGCCGTGCACTGGCCATTTAGCTCTGCAGAAATCTATCATTGATCTAGAATAAGAAGCAAGGCGAATCGACAGCCACCATCACTACCACCCCTGCAAGACGCACTGATGCATGCCACGAGATCGTGGTGCAATGGTCAAAACAAATTATTGATTGGGCTGTTATGCAATCTAGAATTGACAGTGTATCACTACACTTCTGCATTCTTCTGGCCTCTGCGACCTACCTTGGTCTGGATCCTCAAGAAGAACGGCTGTATGATAATTCAGTTCTCCACTAGTTCGTTTCGAAATTTTCTATGCGCCTGCATAGTTTTTTGTTTTCTTCTCATAGATCGCTCGTTATATTTGTCACCCTCCACTCTAGCTGTTATGGCACCTTTTATTCTTTCTTATGTGGACGACGAATCGCAACGAGGGTCTTCAATATGGCTTTTAATATAATTATATTAGCCCAGTCTTATTTGCTACCTCTCCCAGACTAGTCTGGAAATTATGCAAACTACCGTCCTCCTGAAATGTCGTGGTGAAACCGTCAGTGTCGCACCCTAGATTGGGACTCCCCTGGGTTGGACAAACACTCCTGGGTCTCGCATCTTGATTTTTCCCTGCTCGTCTTCATCTGGTGTGTACTTTGCTGAAGGTCTCGCATGTGGTATCTCCAGAGACGAAAGCAATGAAAGCCAATGCGATTGTATCGCTCTTCCTCCTCTCTGCGACGTCGCTCGCTGTCGCAGAGACTGAGGTACCTTCACCAACGGCGACAACCACAATAACGGTGATTTATGCGAACCAAGCCACATCCACAACCGATTCGACCTCTTCGCCTTCCACTTCGACTTCAATCGCAAGCACGTCGAGCACATCCGTCACGTCCACCACCTCTAGCTCGTCTAGCGCTTCTAGCAGCGCATCTTCCTCGAGTCTGCGCACAATGACGGCCACGAATTCTGGGAGTCCGGTTAATTTGATAGCAACTGCTGCGACAGCCCATGCGACCGATGAGGCCAGCGAGGCGGCCAGCGCCAGGAATGTTGATATATCATTGGGTCTTGTTGTGGGATCATTTGCGCTTGCTTTGGGCTCAATATGGTGACAATGCGACGGTGCAATTCTGAGATGGTCGACTTCAACGGCTATGACGACTCCGTTGCGACGCTGGGCCATTCATCATACACCGATCATAAAAGAGACGTCTTGGCGCATCGCCAGTGACTGGATTGTGTTCTCTTTTTCCTAATCGTTTCTGTTATTTCGGGTCAGCTCTTGCAAGAGTTGGGTTTCTCGGATTGTGTTTTAAATATACATACCCCTTTGATGATTTCTCGAATATCTATGCGCCACTGTTCTTTTCGACGAAAATCTCATTTGTTCTTCTATAAATCCTGTTCATAACAATTGCTTGTGTTATGCTTCTGTATAGACCTTCAGTAGACGCATCTCTTATCAATCACTCGCGACGTTGATTGGCTCCACACACGCGTTGGCCCGCTTCGGGTAAACAGTTGACCTCATCGTCGCGATCATCAGACGATTGGCGATAGTTCGGACACCACGCGCTCCGAGAGCGTCTCTAGTCTGATAAGAACCACAATTCACCTCCTTTTCGTCCCTTAATGGACAGTCTATCTTTCTGGAGAAATTACATTCATTGGAGCTGATCCTGTGCTCTCTTTCTCCTATCACCAACCCCACCCAACGCGTGCCACTCCGAAACTACCCACGCGACTGGCGCCTTGTATCCATAACACTCCTTACCTCATCGCATACTGCGGAAATACAAATACAAATCATGGAGAACGAAATCCCCCTCCCCCCGCCACCCCGGAGGAGAAAGTCGCACCGCCCGTCGCGCTTCGACGACCGCTCTAGCCAACCGTCCAGCGACCCTGCCCTTTTCTCCAGTGATGATATCCCAGCCTCCGGCCTGGAGAATTACCATGCGCCTGCTCATGGAAATACAGGGAGGAAGAGGCGATACCGCGGTACGTGGTGGGGTGAAACGGTGCTGGATCCGAAGCGGAAACGAAAGGATTTCAAGGATAAGCGGTTTGTAGACAGTGGTGTGTGGATGGGGAGTGATGAGTCGTTCGCGGAATCACTTTTACCGTCGGAGGATGCGCCTATCTCCGAAGATTTCTTCAAGGACTTGCGGAATTCGAACCCGAGAGTGTCCAGCAAAGAGGAAGATGCTGTGCCTTTTGGGTTTGCAGCTCCAGGTCCGCAGTCCGTTCTGGGGACGGATCGGGGCCCGATATCGAGACCGCAGCCGCAAATGGTAGCCCAGCCTCGCGTGGCGTTTAGGAGAGTGGTCGAGTCGCAAGAGCATCAGTTGGCTAGAGCGATTGTAAATGACTGTCTGGAGAAGGGCCAGGATAGTGTTGACCTAAGGTGAGTACAACATCCCCATGACGAAGAACGAAAATAATGAAGGCTAACATTTAATAGCATTGGCAACATTAGGGAAATCCCTTCTAATCTACTAGGGCCCCTACAACACCTCACAAAATTGCCTGCCATACGAGAACCCCCGGTCACTGAGGACGTCTACTCTTCACTAGAGCCATTCCTCCGACTCTTCCTGGCCGGGAACTCTCTGTTCAAACTCTCGAGCGAGCTCTTTGACCTGACCTCGCTGAAGGTTCTCAGTTTGCGAAATAACAAGCTGACCGACATCCCACCGGCAATTCGCAGACTGACGTCGCTGCAAGATGTCAACCTCTCAGTCAATCGGTTGCAATACCTCCCCTGGGAGTTCCTGTGGTTAATTAGGAAGGGCGATTTGAAGCATCTGATTGTCCGTCCAAATCCTCTATTGCAGATTGACGAAGCGGAAATCGCTCACTGGAATTACCCTAATAATACAACACCAGTATCATTAAACGAATCTCTACGTTTACAAGAGTATGAATCACCGGTACCCGATGAGGCATGGGCCCCCATCCACATCGCCACGGGTCCCACCCGCCGCTTCAACACAGATGGCTACCCCATACCAGAAGCACAAATAAACACAGCACCCTCCAACGAACTCAAATCCAATGTCCCATCCCTCCGCGAAGTGTCTCTCGTCTCCCTCAACAAATCTAACTTCTTCGATCTTACCCCCGACTCCGACATCGCAGATCTCCCAGAGCTGATGCTCCGGTTACTCCGGTACGGTAGGGAGGTCAGAGCTGCAGGTGGCCGGTGCTGCTCTATCTGTCACCGAAACTTTGTACTCCCGCGAACTGAATGGATCGAGTGGTGGGATTGCAGCACGTACGAGAACGGACTCAAGGGGCCGCGCGCATCGGGCGAGAAACTACGGCCGTTGCCGTTCAAGAGGTTGGGTTGTAGCTGGACGTGTGTGCCTGATATGAAGTCGGTAGAGGTTACGCATATTCCAGAGGAGTCGACTGCGGAGTAATCCGGGCTTGCTGTTTTTGTTCTTGCTTTGGAGTACTGGTGTTTCATGGTCGCGATGCACATGCATACAGGGGGTCGTGTGTTCTGGGAGGTATTGTTATTATTTGTCTGAGTCTGCATTTGTAGACTATCTGATTATCTGTTGTGATGTATTATAGCTCATCTGCTATCTATGCGCGGTACCTATGTGCTTATCCATATTCTTATGAGTTCTATTCAATAGAAAATTCCAAATCATCTCGTACGATGACCAGCCCAGGGTCTGAAGCGAAGTTCAGGCTATTTGTGAAGCTTTGACTGGAAGAGCTTCAGTAATTAGTCTGTTTTCGAGTATCATCTTGCTCCACGTGAACTAGAATGCGTAAACGGCCAATGCGTCCTTAGTGGAATGATGATGGGCATTGAGGGGTTTGTCGTCGCCACGGAGTTAATTTGGTCTTAGTCGTCTCCTGGTTGATTCCTTTTCTCCTAGACGCCAATTCTAGGGCATTGATGTTGTCTTTCGGTGAAACATGTGCGGCGAGGCTCGATCTTGGTCGGCAACTGTTTTCAGGCGCTCATCAAGTGGTACACTGTCAATTAATGAGACGTTTGCCTGCTTGACAGAGGATTGCGAGTCTGCGAGAAACATTTCTTCGATGCAATCAAGGTGAGGGCATATGATCGTGTAGCACAAATTCGCCAAAGATAAGATAATTTCATTCATCTTTTCGTCCATCAACCCGGTTTGGGGCTAGTGTGCGCCACCTTGTGTTCCATTTGATTCACTACCAAGCCCCCTTCAACTGGACATGCAGTGCCACTGGACAGTGTATGTTGCTCCAGAACTAGCTGGGAAAGACCACATCCTAACCTTAGATCTTTCTGAAGAGTGTGATAAGCTATTATGAATTATTAGACTTGAAACTATGACATGTATGTTGATACTTTGGAAGTAAACAGTCCCAGATGGTCACATTCAGTTAGTTCGGAACAATACGTTCTGCTTGACATTGTGAGTGCGGGCCGCTTTCTTTGAATGAATGCCCTAACTTTGTGTAGTACAAGTATACCGAACAAAGAAGATTTCCGATACAAATCCGGTTGAAGATAACTGTTTGGTTAAAAGCTAGTCCTAAGTAGGTCTAGTTGAATACAATACCCTAACCCCTGTCAAACCAACAATGAATTCTTCCTCGCTATCTACTCTTAGTATTGTCCTCCAATATATTCTCACTCTTCAAAAATGGCAAATTTCTCTTCCTCTGGCTGCACTATGAGACCTCCGACGAAGACATAAAAACCTCCTCAATTCCCCTCAATCCTCCTTCTTACCAACCAAAATCATCTACTCCCCTCAAACCACTATTACATTCTCAAGATTCCACCCGCATCACTACCATCAAAATGGCTCCCGCTGATATCCCTGACGCTCTCAAGGGTAAGGTTTCTTATAACACATCCCAACCACTCTGAACAGATGCTAATACATATGACAGGTCTCAAGGACGGTACTTGTGTTATTATGTAAACGCAGTTTCATCCACATATCAACCCGGTGGTCTGACAAGTTCTGCAAAACGAAAATAACGACAATGACCTGGTAATCGCAATGCCTTCCTCCGCGTCAACTGGTTCCGTTCCGCTCGAGACCTCATGAGCCGCTTTGAGGGAATCCGTCTGTTTTGGACTTGATCTTGATTTTTATATTTGGCGTTACCTAAACCATGTTCAATTTAAATCCTTTTGTACAATTTAGACCATGATATCCTCTTTCAAACTAAAAGTGACATGCTTGCAAATTCCGCAAATGTGTTGGCCACGGAGCGGATGGCAGCAACGGGCATAAAAAATGACCGTTATTGCATGTTCCGACGCTGACTACATATAATCAGGAGCACTCACCCCGTTCATCGAGTGGTGACAGGACTCCAGCTCATAATTGTAGGAAACGCATCCTCCCCGACTTCTTCACAAGGTCAGCGTCTATAGCCATGCTGTAGTAGTTCGAGCGCTTCTAACAGCAATAGCAACAAACGAATATCGACCACAAGATCCTAAAAGTTGTTGTGTCTCTAGGCGTGATATCTTCTGGATTGCTGCCATGGCGGACTCGCGCTGGGCCGAAAACCCCCTATAAAGAGGAAAGATGGAATACTAGCCGTATTCAACGACACAACTTCTTCCACACAGACGAACCGATTGCGTTGTGCGTGGTGGGTTATCTAGGAAACACATCGCCTGTAAAAGAGCCGTGCGTCGGTTGTGTCGTCAACGGAATAGCGCTCGTTGTACGTTCCGTAACGACCGGGACCGTTTGCGAAAAGGTATGGCTGTCAGTTTACTAACCCTTACAGTAACCCCTGCAGGCAAAACAACAATGTCCTTGACCCTACCGTCGCCGGCGACATCTTTATCTCGCTACTTAGGTAAAGCATCTTGATGCTAGGATTCTGGCACCGAGACATTTTAGTCAAAGTTCCACAACCATCACACAATAAACGGTACATTGAGTACAGACTTTGTCTTCGAATTGGGGCAAAGATTTGCCGACTTGAAATCGGTCATGTCAGTCCAATTTAAACATTACAGAGCCTTGGGCCTAAAGGAAGACTGCGTGTTTTCCCGAACACTGGATTGAGACCACGGAGCTTCAAGGCATTTGATCAACCTTGCTCCAGAAGCATCACGGTCCGTTAACCAGTCACAACTAGCGGTCGCACCAAGCATCCAACTGAGACCCCAAAGGGACACAGTCAGATAACAGTTGACATAACAGCAGAAATGCACCAGCTGTGCTTACCAGAAAACTTTTCGATTACGGGTGTATCCTGGCTTTTACAGATCCGCGCAGTAGCAGAATGGAGTACCATTTAACCCAAACTGTCGTCAGATGAGATGCATGGGCAAGAGATAGGCAATTGAGGATCGAGGCACATGGAATAAAGTATTTTCTTTGCCCAAGTGGGAAGGCCAAGCCATATCCTGCTGCCCGTCAATAACCCCTTGGTTTGAATGGTTGCTCTTTGCTCATGGTCCACTATGCAGGCCATGGATTTGTCGAGCATAACAAACGGATGCATGAATCTGGCAGGTGAGGTAATCCAAAGAAGTTATCTTGGCCAAACTCACCCGAACAAGTTACAACTTGCTGCGTTTTCAAAGACGATGCCTTTAAGCGCCGATTTAGTTTTGGCTTCCTGGTACAGCGTTTTACTGACGCGATACATCTGCTACATGAAGTGCATCATGAAGTTATTCTAGTTGTCAGGCTACAGAAAGGACCCACAAAGAGCGAGCCTGTACCGTCACATCCAAGGTCGCTGGCAAGCTTGTACAGCTTAAAAGCAACAATAAAAGTTCTGCTGAGTTCTTATCAACTGCTACACTGCTTAATTCACGCTTCTTGAAAAGGATGTGGGAAATTGCTAGACGTGGAGGACTAGGGTCAATGACCACCCTTGATGGTTGGAGGATAACGATTGGTTTGCTCGGGAGAAACAGATGTACAGAGTAGACTACCAATAAACCAGAAATAAATAAAGAATAAACCAAGAAGAAAGAAGTAAAAGAGTCAGTTCAATCGGTACGGAGGGCAAAGAACTCACGAAGAATCGACTTGGCAGCTTCCTCGGCTCTATTCTCCCACCTTCTGATAAACTCATGCCGCATGGCTCTGTCATTGCCAAAGACAAGATGAAGCTGACCGTTCACGACGGGACATTCCCATTCAACACACTGAGAAATCGTGCGCGAGAGAACCGTGTGCGAGACCTCGTCGACTTGCGCATTCAAACCCGCATCATTTTCGTCGTCCTCTTGGTGTGATTTTACTTCGTTCTCTCTGTCAGGTTCCTCATCAGCAGATTCACTAGTATATCCAACAATGGAGGTGTTTTGGGTCTCACTGCTGTCTTGTTGATCGTGGAAAGTCTCTAGAACGAACTGGTAGTTTTGAGATGGGGTTGCAGAATCGACAACGGGTATTTGCTGGTCTTCAATATTTGCCTGTTCAAACCGGTGAATAGTAGGCTTTTTGTTGTACTCACTAGCATGTGACTCCGGGCCGAAGGCGCTGCAGATGTCCCTCTTGTATCCAGCGACTAGCGTCGGGGAACTCGGAAGTTCATTCTCATCTGCCCCAACTGGCATATTAGGGGTTGCTCGAATCTCTGACTCAAGCGTAGGCATCGGAGTGTCGACGGTTGCGCCGGTTTGTCCTGTTGGTTCAGATGGCGCGGGAGTGCCCACCGCAGATTCACCATTTCCCTTACCTTCGATGGTGTTGTCATTGACATCTGGTCCTTCGGTCGATTCTAGAACTTGGGCTTCCTCACCGGCTGCGGGTGGTAGGGAAGAGGCGAAAATAGCTGGGATGATGATACCGTTGCTACCAAAGACAAATCGATGTTCCCGTGCCTCCTCAGTGGTAACTTCTTCTCGATCTGGACTTTTCGCAGCATTATAGAAATCAACCGCGGCTGGCGTTTTTGTCTGCCTTCCTCGATGGGGCTTGGCGGTAAGACGTTCAAACACAACCCGATTAAGGGCTCGGACCGCGCTTTCAAACGAAAGCCCAGTGTTCACAAGACGACAAATTCCACGCGCGATATTGAGGTTCGTGGCGTAGCACCACAGTTTAGCCGTGTTTGACTCTCCCCATACACGAATGATAGCTTGCTGTGCAGCAGTCATCTTATTTTCATAATCAAGTGCACGTTGAGGTGCATTGCTGGGGACCTCCACGGGAGCTTCTGGTCGTTTGGGGTAGACGGATGGCTCGCGAGACTGCGATTCCTGGGCACGATCGCGGGCGCGAGCAGTCTCAGCATCGTTGCGTTTACTGCTGGACAAGAGGTCGTTCAGGATCTGGAGGTATCTGTCATAGCGTTGTTCGACTGGGAGGCTGTTGATGTACAGGAGGGAGGCATTCAAGTTGTGGACGTTGGCGTCATCGAAGAGGAGCGGACGACCGGTTGAAGGGCCTGGGGCTGAGGAGTTTGGCTGGTCAGACATGGTGGCTATGAAGGCCGTTGGATTTCACTCGATGAATTGTTTCGAAATGTCTCAAGCGTCGGTTTCTCTTTGATGAGCAGAAAATGATTTTGATAAAAGGGCGTCAGTGAGAAGAGGGGATAAGGTAGAAAGGAGAAGGGAAGGTTGGGAAGAAGAAATATATATAATCTCCTCGGAAGCGAGATTATGTTCAAAAGATAGTGGCGAAAGAAGGAGCAGCCCTAATATTTTTGAGTAAGTGAATTTTTAGGAAGTACCCCAGCTCGAGAGCTACTTCCTTGTTGGTTGAACCTTCCTAGTCCAGCTACAGCAGGCGCAAACTACTCAGACACGGTTCATATGCTAGGAATTGATATAATCAACACGTCTACGTTGAACCCTTGTCGAAGTAAGGGATTAGACTTGATCGTGGATGGCCAAAGAATGACTGTAGTTTAAAAACTGCTTGGAAACAATACAATGCTGTACTCGTACACTGATTTTAACGCCTCCTGGTAATATATCTTAAAGCATGTCCATATTATCTCTACTTCCGGTAAACAACTCACGTAACATCGACCTTGACACTTCCCGTGCTCTTTCCTCCCAAGCGCTGATAAAGGAATTCCGCATGGCTATATCGTTCCCAAAGACAAGTCGAAGCTGGCAACGTATAACCACACCTCTCCAGTCCACGCTCTGAGCGACCATCCGCGAAAGAATATTCATATGCATTTCCAAATCTTGAGCATCTTCGTCGTAATCTTGACTGAAATCCCCTCTGATCGCTCCGTGAGCCCCGCCGTCGGTGGAGTACTCCTGCACATAGCTTTCTCCAGAACATTCACTCTTAATACCGTGGCTGTACAGTTCTTGGTTGTGGGGAGTTTCCGGAGTGGGCTGGGGGTTCCTAGATTGTATCTTGAATTAGAAGCGGGCATTTTGAGGCTTTCAAGATTAATTTGCTTGACATACCCAATAAAGTATGGAGTTGGCCCGAAAGTACTGCTAAAGCGTCGTTTGTGACCGGCGATTGGTGTCAATGCGTTCATCCCTCCATCGTGGACTTCAGATTTAACACGCGTCTCAGGAGTGGTCACTTGGGTTCCAAGCTCCTTGGAGAGGACTGGGAGGGCTCGCTCGGTCGATTCAACTGGAGTAGCCGTCACAGTTCCATCCGTTCCATCATTTTTGACATTAGAAAGTGGCAGGGTAAAAAGGAAACCATTACTATCAAAAACATATCCCTGTTGCTGCGCTTCCTCAGCAGTAACCTCCTGCCTCTCAGAGTCCTTGGCAACAGCAACAAAATCAGCCTTCGACAACGCCATCGTAAGACGAGATCCAGGGTGTGGCTTAACCAGTCGATCAAGAACGACCCGGTTTAGTGCCTGAATAGCTTTCTCAAACGAGATCCCCGTGTTTGCGGCAGTGCGCATTTCTCGAGCCATACTATAACTAGTCACATAGGGCCACAATTTGGACGCATTTAGCTCGCCCCATCTGCGGGAAATGGTTTTCTTTGCGACGGTCATGTCGTGTTCGCGCCTACCTGGTGCTCCTTTACTGCTGGAGCCGTCCCGCTGAGCTGGGGATTCGGTTGAAGAGACGGATACTTCGCGAGCTTCTGATGCTTTGACGTTATCCCAGATGCGAGAAATTTCGGCCTTGAGGCGCTCGTTGCCAAGGCGCTCCATATTCGCTGCGGCTTTCAACTAAAGTGTGCTCAATAGAGAAAACAGAAAAGGAAAAATGAGATAAAAACGTTCACTCCATTGTGTGTCACTCCATGATCATCGATGGAGCAATTAATAGGGAGCAGCGAGTGAGGTGAGGTCGCGACAACAAAGAAAACCAACCAACCAACGCGTTGTTGTCCTCCTGCTCAGACTACCATATCAGGAAACCCAGTGAATGCTCTACTATAAAGTCATGTGATTCACTATTCCCCCCTTCCCCCTCTCACAATGCAAATATAACCGCTGCACTGCCCAATCCCATCTCTGTGCTTATGGAAAACAAGACCGAAACTCCTTCCAGCCTCTCCGCTTCGTCCGTTTAATCATGGGAGCTTCCCCGCACATCCCGTGACACGATGTATATATATACCCACTGAATCGCTGCCCGTGCTGACAGCGACAAACATTCTACCATAGTTCTATCCTCTAATTGAGTGACAAGATGACCGAAATCGACCCCAGACAAGGCGTTGATCCGCTCCAGACGCCAAAACCGCTGAAGCGGCCCCTCCCCGACGCCGCGCAGATCCCTCTACGGACATTCCAGTTACCAGATTTTCCTCCTGAAGCGGCGCATCTGAAAGAACTGACTTTGACGTCTGATATCAAACCCTCGGAGTACTCAGATCTCCTCGCGACGACTGTGTCTTCAGATGCGATCTCGAAATCCATCCCCAAGGGAATCGAATCGCTTACCCTAGAGCTCTTCTCCCTGGGCTACCCAGCCTCATTCCTAACAAACCTAGCCCAGTCCCTCCCAAGCCTCAAAGCACTAACACTATACTCCCACCTCATTGATGGCATCAGCGATGCCTCACGCAAAGATGCAGGGGAATTTATCTTCAACGCCCTAGTAGGCAAAGGAGATAACGGCGGCGGACTACGAGAGCTCCATCTCCTCGACACTTTCTGCAGAAAAGGCTTTTATGCTGGTGTTGGTGAGACGCTGGAGGATTTGTATCTGGATGGCGATGCGGCTTCGGCGATGCTTCTGCTTGAAGTATCGTATACGTATCGTGGACACTCGGATCCGGACTTTTTATCGCGTGTTCATGGTGATGAGATTCCGTTGATGTTGGTGCCGTCGTTGATTGCTGTGTCACTGAGGTTGTCGCCGCCGCCGCCGGATCAGGCCGCGAGTGGGTTCTCTAATGGGCTTCCGCATGATCCCTCAGACGTGGACGCGGATGGAAACCCTATCCCTGGGCAGAAACCGCAGGGAATTGCCCCCTTCCCCTCGACGCATCCAGGGACAGCACTGCTTGTCGAGAAACTTACACCTATTCTGGAAACCCCTGAGGGCGAAACCGAGGACCCACCGATCCCAGGCCCGCAAGCTCTAAAGATGCTCGACTCTACTCTCTACAGTCTGACGTTGGATGAACTTTCTAGAATTCTCGGCCACCAAACACAGCTGGCTGTGTTGAATGCCAGCGTCATTGTAGGGACAGACGAGCACGCCAAAAAGTCTATCCTGAACACAATACGATCTGCTAGTCCGGCTTTGGAAACAGTGGAGCTCGTAGGCGTTCCGGAAGATTTTACTGAGGTCAGTTCCCTTTCCTATTATCAGCTCTTTCCTACTGTCAGCTTTTGACACATCATGCTGACGACGACCAGGAATCCTCCCTCTCTGCATTCCATAAAATATTCCCTACGGCGTCTGACATGGCATATTTATCCGAGAACTTGCCGCAGTTGGACAGCTTTAGCATGAGCATCCTCTGTGCGCCCAAGTTCAGAGCTGTGAGCTGGAATAAACAGCCAGACGGGGAGTGGGTTGGTGGTTTTGTTGCAGATGACCAGGTATAGATGTGGATTATTGAGTACACAGCAAATTTTGATTTCGGGAAGTTTAATTAGCGCCCTCTCTTATTTACCTAGTTTAAGTCAATGTATAGCCCTAACCTTATGAACTCGTAAAGGTAGGCCGGTTGAACTCTATTATATTCCTCCGCAGTAAATTAGAAGAACAAGCACAGTCAAATCGTCCACATGAATCGTTAATCATACCACATAGCTCATACACCCCACCTCAGCCCGACAATAGCCCCCTCCCCCCAGAAAGAAAATCACCGAATCGCCTTCTCAATATCCGCCGCCCACAACGCCGCACCCACAGTATTCGTAAACGAGCACGCAATCGAAGCAAAGGGTATCATCTCCAGCACGAAAGCCGCCATACCAAGTCTACACCCGTTAGCACTAACCCTTATATATACTCCACCAGAAAGGAAAAGAAAACTCACCCCGTATAAGCCCCTCGATGCCTGTCCACCCACTCCCTAACCTTCCTCGCATCCCATCCCTTCAACCGAAAATACCTCTCATGCAGCTCTGGCCCCATCTTCTTCCCATGCACAAACACATACAGCACCGTCCCGACAACCGGAATGAAATTCAACGGCAGATACGCACACGCTTTAATCAGACTCGCCATGGTAATTTTCTCGCGCTCTTTTTTCTCAACGTGTTCGGGATCAATCACATCGCCCAGACGAGAGACTGCGTCGCCGGTTGCGTGGAGGTGGCGGCCGTTGGCGACTATTTTCTCGTAACCCTCGCTCACCAGTGTTCCGTCGAAGGTGTCCATTAGTGCGTCCTTGAGGATGAATGCTCGCGCGAGGTAGTTTGTGATCGTGGAGGATTCGGTTAGAACCAGGAAGGCGGTTGTGATGGGTGCGAGCAGGGGTCCGCTGGTGATGCTCATTATGGCGACTTGCGGGATGTAGGTGAAGAAGAACATGGCGGAGGTTACTCCCAGGCCGAGGGTTGCGGTTGGGTAGGCTTTGGAGAGGGGAGGGCGCCAGAGGGGCTTTGTGTTGGAGAGGTGGAAGATTCCCTGTATCATTTTCTATGAGTGACTGCGTTCTGCGGTGGGGAGGCGGGTTGTTGGTACCTTGAGGGGGTAGATGTAGGCTCCTGAGCGGGCTACATCGCCTGCAGACGTAAAGAGACTCACAGTCTCGTCGACGAGGACGGATTTGATGGTGTCCATCATGGGCGGGATGTGGTCAGGCCCTGGCCCAGGATCTCTTGGGAGCACGAAAAGAGACTCGAATCGGCACAGGTTGAGATAAGCTCGGTGTGGAGCCACGTCATTCCGGGCCACACTGCATATCAATGCCCGATTTGTAGTCTCGATACAAATACATACCCATGGGTATTACCACACGGTAATCCGTTTTCCATTTACACGAACTACGAAATACTCTTGACTGCACGATGGAGACCTTAGCATTTTTGTGGACAAATTCGCGGTATTTCCAGCCGCGCTTCATAATTGTCTTGGGACTTCGCCCATACTCCGGATATACCATCTAACGCCGCACACAAAATATCAAACCAAACGCTAATGTAGTACGTTACAAAAAGAAAAAGTGAAAGGAAAGGAGGAATTAAAGAAAAGGAAAAAGGGAGGAGTAACGAAAGTGGTGCAATGAGTGAAATAATTTTTATCGGTTTCGGTCAGGTCGAGCCCGGTGCCAGGCTGGATCACCATTGAGGGCGGACAAGCTTAGAGATGCAAAGTTCCGCCATCCCGAGGCTGGAGCAGACGAGTGTTCTCGCAGAAGACCTGTCTCGTTGCCCACACGACGCTCAGTGTCGGACATCTCATCTTCGCTGGCATTCGAGATGACCACTGGGGCGGACGCAGACTGTGCCTCTGCATGGTCAGCATCGTCAAGTTCATGAGACTCGTCGCTGGCATTAGACTGAGACATCGACCGGACAACATCGCCTTTACAAATTGGACAGGTCCGCCGACGTGTTGTGAGCCATGGTGTGCTAAAAAGGTTGTTAGTAAAGTTCATAGACAAGTTATACTCAACAGGCGACTTACATGCACTCAGCATGGAATTCATGCCCGCAAGGAAGACTCATTACTCTGCTTTGTCCATCTATATACTCTTCAAGACAAACAACGCATTCCACCTGCCGTCCCGTGTACTTACGCCGCCATAGACGGGAAGGACTCGAACGTGGCTTTTCCGGTCCAGACCGCGGCCTAGGAGGTGGACTTTCAGAACGGAGTTCGGGCGACAGTAGCGGAGCGGCCGCTGAATCGATATTGCGACTCGATGGCCGAGGTGAGCTTGAGACAGAGGGCGGCGTTGAGATTGTGTGGTACGTTCTAACGGGAAGACGATCCACGATGGACTTGGGGGCTCGCCAACGTCGCCGTCGAATGCGGGATCGAATCAACAGCAGCGCGTAAACGACCGATAGAGTAAGCAACGGACTGACAACTAGAACAAGGAGGGTATCGAAAAACGGGCTTGTCGACATGCTCGTTGGCGTTAAAGTGACCCACAGACCCTCGTGGTCTTCTGAATTCGCACCGTGGGAATCCCTGCTGCGAGAAAAGAGATCATGTCGGTTGAGAGATGAATCCGAGTCGCCCTCACTGGCACCTGTCTGGCCAAAATGGCGCGAAAACCATCCCTTGGTGGGTGCCCCTGACCCAGGTTTAGCATCCGCTGCATCGCTCCGATAGCCGGATCTTTCAGCACTCCAGTCCTTGCTATGACCATTTTTCTCGGAACTAAAGTACTCTCCACTTCCAGGAGTCGCACGGCCACCGTTAAGACCAGTGGAAGTAGTTGCTGATGCCTTGGTTCTTGTCGTCTCTTTCCCGGCGGCCGTGCTTGGATCAAGGAGATGCCTTGCAGGCGCTTGGTCTGGATCACGCCAGTCATGGACTCCAATTACAAACCCATCACCATCAGCGTAGTTTGAAGAGCCCCAATCCTTCGATTTGGTCCGCTCATTTCCACCGTAGTCATCAGATGGATCCAGCTGGTCCCAAGAATCCATCACAACCCAGTCAATGTTTCCACTGCTAGGTGGACGCCGACTGTCCTCGGTTGAATGACCCTTGCTACTGCCCAGGCCAACCAAAGATAGAATGCCGTGGAAAAGCCCGGATTTGGGCTTCTGTGAAACAGTAGATGGCGCAGCCGCAGAGGGGCCAATCGACGATGGAGTCGGATAGGAAGATGGGGTCGTCATGGAATCTGCAACTTGCGTACTCGAAGTGCTGTGGGTGGAGGGCCTGGTGCGGGAAGCCTTCGATTCCTTTGCCCGGTTGGCTTGGTTCGCGTACTGCGGAGGAATGAGGGAGGACAAAAGGTGGGCAGTCGTATGAGAAGTGAACAGGGCAGGAATGGTCACATTGGATGTGTCACCACGCGCATACATTGTAACCAGGCTGCCACCCCTGGTATCATCTCCAACAATCACAGCAACACCTCCCCGTCGTTGAGCCCACTTTACCTTTTCCAAGAAACCGCAACCACCCCTGCTCAGCAAGACAACTTTTCCTGCGATTTCCGCACTTTCCTGCAAGGACTGGACATCTGCATGTGTTGTGGATCGAGATGATTCCATGGACCTTTCGGTACCAACATCCACCATGCTGGACTCGCGAAGAGGGTGGTGAAGGTGGTCGTCTGTTCCATCGTTCGTTGGCGGGGGGGAAACGTCGTCATCTCCAGTCTCCTGCGAGTCGTACTCTTGTTTGGAATCTGACAGCCGGCGGTTTTGGGGAAGACTGGCGCCACTTCCGGGACCCGAGCCTGAGTTTCCGTACGGTTTCTCTCCGCTCAAAGTGGGCTTGCCATGCTTGTATTGGCTTTCACCCTCTCCCCATCCAGGAATATCGGAGCATCCTAGTTCCCCCTCCACCCCGGCTACTAAGCCTCCCTGCCCGAACCCACTGCCAACCCACAGTTGGCCACTGAGACTCACCTTCGGGAGCGAAGGGCCAAACGCTGCAGGTCTGGCCAGGAAGAAGGTCGAGTTGTCATCGGTAAGACTGATGATAGCGGACGGAGGAAAAAGCGAAGAGGGGAGATTGAACGAGAAGAAAGCGTGCAACCCCGACGATCGACCAGCGAGCGCACTAGGGTTGGTCACACGAGGCGAAGAAAAAAGAGCGGAAATGAACGTATAAAATATGGGCAAGAAGATGAGACAGAAAAGGAGAAATATCAAGCGAGGCGGTCGCATATTTGCCCAGATACCCAAGGTCCCTGTACCACACGCGCACACGAAACAGTTAAGGCAGGATACGATGAAGAAGATGGTATTATAGCCGGCGCGTTATTCAGCGTGTTATATCTTCTCTTTTTTAAGACCAATCAAACGGTCGTTGGAGAGCAAGATAATGGGAGAGTCATGGAGGTTGTTAACTGCGCAGGGCAGAGCGCGGGCAAGGGCGGGCAGTTCGGAAAGGAGAAAAATCGAAGAACAGAAACAGAAAATGGAAAGAGCGAAGGTAATCCAAAAAAAGACACGGCCAATAATATCCAGCGATGAGGAGAGAAGCAGAAGAGCTGACAGGAGAGGAGTGAGAAAAAAGGGAAGAAGAAAAAAGATGGAGAAATGGAGGAGAGGAATGGAGGCGGGCAAATGACTCTGCCTAGCTGCTGTATGTAATGGCTGTATTGTCCTGTAACGCTCATGTGATCTAGTACTAATTCATACTAGTATGGCTGCACTCTGGATATTGCTAGTCTTTCCTATATAGAATTGTATATCTCTAGTATATAGAGTAGCATTATCTAACGAGCACCATACTAAACTCATTGCACTCTAACCATACCTCCCCAGACAAAGCCGTGAAGAAGTAATACAATTACCGCCCGTCTCCCCGTAGATCATGCCATCATCGGGTCCACTGCCGTTATTGAGCCGTTTAGCCACAACGGCATATAACTATCGGAGTACTCTGTAAAAGCGCGATTTGATATGGTAAGCACGAAAAGATGAAAACGAGGTATGATAAGGAGACTGAGTGTAACGAGATTGAGTTAAAATGCATTGATGACGCCTCGAGTCTATCCCGAGCGGGGCCGGATGGCAGTGCACTTAGTGTGGCTCGCTGTGGCTAGTGTAGTTGCCTGAGGAAAGTATATATCTTGGCGCGATTATCTGGAACGATGACGTTGATTCGACACCATGCCCACTCTCTACAACCATACACACCCAAGCATTATGCCATCCCAACGTCAGTCGAGTGCTGCGTTCCCTTAGATCTTGTTACATCCCCCGCATATGGCGTCATGAAAGTCATCGAACCGGGATCGATTCTGGAGGGTTGCGCGTTGAGATGAACATGGGGAATACGAGGTTGGGTTATATAAACCCAATTGGTACTCGGAATTCAATGCAGACTATCAGATTATTTCAATCAACAAAGCTTTTATCATTGAAAGACCATATCTCTTCTATTGTTTACTTTCGATATTTATCATGGACAACATCGTGCACAAGGTCAAGGATGCCGTCACTGGTCACGGCTCTTCCAAGGGAAGCAGTGGCCAGTACGACTCGGCTAAACAGGGCTCCAACGATGGTGAGGATTTCATCCGAATTCCCTTTTGGGTTAGTGCCTGATCTGCTGACACTGCATAGCGTACCACAGTGGATCTTCCAACAACAACGCTAGCTCCTACGACTCCTCCAACCTTGGTAACAAGGGCCATGACCTGAGTATGTGATTTCTTCAACATTTCACAATGTGTCAGAGCTGACTATAACAGAGAACCAAGGCGGAAACTACGGAAAAGACGCTAGCAGCTACGGCAAAGACACTGGTAGCTACGGAAAGGACACTGGTAGCTACGGAAAGGACACTGGTAGCTACGG